CCCCCTCCCCCTCCCCCCTGGCCTCCTCCCGCCACCATGTCCGTTGGTACTTACTTTCTGCCCCCCTCCTCTCTCTCTCTCTCCCTCTCTCTCTCCCTCTCGCACGCGCCCTCTGTGCCTCTCTGTCTGCATCCACTCCGCCGACCACATGGACCACGCAGGGAATGACCCTCTGTCCCCCCGTCAAGCCGAGTCGCTGGCCGAAAGTCTGCGCAGCCGCCGGCCCCCGATGTCTGATGTGCCATCGACTTTCTCTTCTCTTCAGTTCGACATCTTCGGTGCGACCTCTCTGCCGTGTATCTCCCCCTCTCGTCACCCCTCCTGCGCTTTCCTTGCTCCTTCCCCTTGTCCTCCTCATCTTGCTCGACACTCATGCGGATATTGTCTCCACCTCCGGCGATGCCCGGCCAGATCTCACCCTTCGGAAGAATGGCCGGGCAAAAAAGGGCCATAACTTTCTGTCCATAAGGGCGTCCCCCATCCAGGTGGCCCTCCTGCAGGGGCTCAATCCATGGGATCAGGCCGGCGCGCCAGTCCCCCTGCCGGGAGCCGGCACGGCCGCCATGCACCTGGCCCGGCAGGTGTCGCACGAGCAAGCCTCCATGCGGACTTGGGATCTGGTGTTTGCCACCAACTTCCTGGAGGACTTTGCCATGCTCTTCGGACTGCACACCCTGCCGGCGGGGATTACCACGCCACAGGCACTGGTCCATGCATTGACCGAGCTCTTTGGCCAGCTGGTGGATGCCCGAGAGGCGGGCAACGAGGCTCAAGTCGTTGAGGCCCTCCTGGGCCCTGGGACCCGGTCGGCCCGGCACCCGCGGCTGGCGTCCCCCCTGCGCGCCAGGCGCAAGGATCACTCGGGCTCGGGCTCGGGCTCGGGCTCGGGCTCGGGCTCGGGCTCGGACTCGGACTCCGACGACCGTCTCGACCCGAGCGCAAAGCTGGATGTGGCTCTGCGGCGCTTGCAGCGGGCCCTGGACGTATGCTCGGCCGGGACTCACCCCGGCACGCGGCATCTCCTCGGCCTGTATCTGGCCCATGAGGATCTCCGGCGGGCGGCGACCAACATCCGCCATGGTACCTGGGGGGCCGTGTCGCCGGAGCAACTGCTGAGCTTGCTGATGAACATCGGCCTGGTGGATGTGACCATGGCCGATGGGTCGCCCCTGACAGTGGATGGCCAGCAGCTTCTGGACATGAGCGTGTTCGACCTCTTCTCTCGGACGAACCTCTCTCTCGGCGGGGCGCTGATGCTCTATGTGCGCCTGGTGACCGAGGCCTTCGACACGAGCGACTTGGAGGCATGGTCCCCCCTGGCCGGGTCTCGGGCGGCTTCCACATGCCAGGACAGCAATGGCGCCGGGGCCCAGCCCCGGAAATCCATCGATGTGGCCCTGCCCCGGTTGGAGTCCTTCGTCAACTGGACCACCCCGACGTGTGACCTGTGGCTCGCCCGGCTGACGGGTTTCCCGGAACTGGCCGACAGGCTGTCCCTCTACAATGGGTATGACCTGCTGGCGCTGTTGCTGGCCGATAGCCCGGCTGTCCGGCGGCGGGATGCCACAACCCAGGCCCGCATGGCCGACCGGTATGCCAAGTGGCTGGCCGCGCGCGAGCACGACCCCCTGGCGTGGGTCCTGAAGCCGGCCCTGCACCAGGCGGCAGCCGGGTCCTTCGCAGCCGGGGCCAATGCACAGGACCTCCTGGAGATGCGTACCCTGGCGGAGATGCGCCTTCAGGCGGTGGAAGCCGGGGCCCTGGCCGAGCCCGAAGCCGCCCCGGGCGAGCAGTCTCCCCTCTCGCCGAAGCCGGCGGATTCCTCGGCGCTGGACGTCTTCGGGGTGTCGCTCGACACGCCGGCCGCCTTCAAGGCACGCACCCTGCAATCGCTGGAGTCAGCCATCAGGGCAGACGGCAACTCCGTCACCGTGTCGCCGGAGGTCATGGGTCTCATTCGGCAGGCCATTCTGGATGTGGTGGCCGATGAGTGCCGATCTGGCAAGCTTCCCTGGTGGATCGGCCAATTTGATCTGGCCATCCCGCTCAAGGACCTGCTGGGGCCGGGAGCCTCGGCGGCGGCGGCGGCGGCCCGGCTGCCGGCCAAAGCGGGTCTCCATTCCCCGCATCTAGACTTCTCGCCCTTCCGCAGCATCAACGACATGCGGCCGTAGTCGCGGAGCCGGTGGGCGTGCCGCCTGCACACACACACGCGCGCGCGCACACACACACACATGCACCCACAGACGATACATTTGCACACGCCGGACAAAGCACTGCCCGTGTAGCTCTGTCGCCTCTCCCTGTCCCCTCCTCCGGCGGGGGGCCGACTGAAACACATTTGCAGCCCCGATGTCCCCCCCC